GTTGTGATGGGGGGGGGGGGGAGAACCCCCCCCCCGAACTCCACCGGTCACCCCCTGTGGGGGTTGGGCAGAGACCCCTCCCCCATCGTGCGTCCAGTGCTCCCAGTTTGGGAGGGTCCATGGAACCAGTGCTCCCAGTTGGGGAGAGAGAGATCCTGCGGTCGGTGCTGCCGGCGGGGTGGTTGAGCAGCGTGTCCAGTGCTCCCAGTGCTCCCAGTTGGGTGCTTGAGCAAGACACCCAGTGCTCCCAGTTGGGTGTTTGAGCAAGACACCCAGTGCTCCCTGTGCTCCCAGTTGGGTGTTTGAGCAAGACACCCAGTGCTCCCAGTGCTCCCAGTTGGGTGTTTGAGCAAGACACCCAGTGCTCCCAGTTGGGTGTTTGAGCAAGACAGCCAGTGCTCCCAGTTGGGGACAGGATCGAGGCTCCCAGTGCTCCCAGTTGGGTGGTTGGCCAATGCGTCCATCACCCCCAGTTGGGTGGTTGACCAGCACAACCAGTGCTCCCAGTTGGGGAGCAGATTGATTAACCCATTGCTCCCAGTATGCCCAGTTCTCTAGTTTAACCTAACACCCAGTGCTCCCAGTTGGGGAGCTGACCAAGGCTCCCAGTGCTCCCAGTTGGGGACTTGCCCAAGGCTCCCAGTGCTCCCAGCTGGGGAGCTGACCAAGGCTCCCAGTGCTCCCAGTTGGGGAGTTGACCAAGGCTCCCAGTGCTCCCAGTTGGGGACTTGCCCAAGGCTCCCAGTGCTCCCAGCTGGGGAGCTGACCAAGGCTCCCAGTGCTCCCAGTTGGGGAGCTGACCAAGGCTCCCAGTGCTCCCAGTTGGGGAGCTGATCAAACCAACCATCATTCCCAGTTGGGGACCTGCCCAAGGCTCCCATCTCTCCCAGTGCTCCCAGTTGGGGAGCTGATCAAGCCAACCATCACGCCCAGTTGGGGATCTGTCCAAGGTTCCCAATGCTCCAAGTTGGGGAGCTGCCCAAGGTTCCCAGTGCTCCCAGTTGGGGAGCTGATCAAACCATCTCTCCCAATGCTCCCAGTTGGGGACCTGCCCAAGGCTCCCATCTCTCCCAGTGCTCCCAGCTGGGGATCTGCACATCTCTCCCAGTGCTCCCAGTTGGGGAGCTGCCCAAGGCTCCTATCTCTCCCAGTGCTCCCAGTTGGGGACCTGCCCAAGGCTCCCATTTCTCCCAGTTGGGGATCTGCACATCTCTCCCAGTGCTCCCAGTTGGGGATCTGCACATCTCTCCCAGTGCTCCCAGTTGGGGATCTGCACATCTCTCCCAGTGCTCCCAGTTGGGGATCTGCACATCTCTCCCAGTGCTCCCAGTTGGGGAGCTGATCAANCCCCCCCCCCCCCCCCCCCCCCCCCCCCGCCGTACCTGCCGCAGGTTGCGCGTGACGCGCACGTGGTGCCAGCCGCCGTCGTGGAACTTGCCGTTGACGGGCTCCACCAGCGCCTCGAAGGCGCCGGCGCCCAGGTTGATGACGAGCCACACGGCGCCGGCCTTGAGCGACAGGTTCAGGAAGTCGGCGGCGCGGCCGGTGTGCAGCAGGAGCCCGTGGCGCTGCCGCGTGCGGAACGCCAGCGCCAGCTCGTCCGCGCTGCTCTGCACCGGCGACCGCGACACGTCGTAGCAGAAGAACTCGCTGCCCCGGAACGTGGCCACGTACTCGGCGCGGCCTGGCGGTGGGGACAGCGGGACATCGTGTGGGGACAGCGAATGGGGAGGTTGGCAAGGGGGTGTGGCACTGGGGGGGTGTCGGTGGGAGCTGGCGGCAGGGGATGGGGAGGTTGTGACAAGGAGGTGTCGTGGGGAGGTTGTGGTTGGGGACATTGTGGTGGGGGCATTGTGATGGGGACGTTGTCATGGGGATGTTGTCATGGGGATGTTGTCATGGGGACATTGTCATGGAGACGTCATGGAGACATTGTGATGGGGATGTTGTCACAGGGACATTGCCATGAGGACATTGTCATGTGGACGTTGTCATGGGGACATTGTCATGGGGACATTGTGATGGGACGCTGTGATGGGGACGTTGCCATGGGGATGTTGTCACAGGGACATTGCCATGGGGACGTTGTCATGGGGACGTTGTCACAGGGACATTGCCATGAGGATGTTGTCATGTGGACGTTGTCATGGGGACATTGTCATGGGGACATTGTGATGGGGACGTTGTCATGGGGGTGTTGGCACAGGGATATTGGCATGGGGATGTTGTCATGGAGACATTGTGATGCAGATGTTGTGATGGTGACATTGTGATGGGGACGTTGTCATGGGAATGTGATGGGGACATTGTCATGGGATGTTGTCATGGGGACATTGTCAGTCATGGAGACATCATGGAGACATTGTCATGGGGATGTTGTGATGGGGACGTTGCCATGGGGACGTTGTCATGGAGATGTTGTCATGGAGATGTTGTCATGGTGACATTGTGATGGGGACGTTATCATGGGGACGTTGTCATGGGGACATTGTGATGGGGACGTTGTCATGGAGACATTGTCATGGGGACGTTGTCATGGGGATATTGTGATGGGACATTGTGATGGGGACATCGTGATGGGGATGTTGGCACAGGGATGTTGCCATGGGGACATTGTCATGGAGACATTGTGATGGGGACTGTTGTGATGCGAACGTTGTCATGGGGACATTGAGATGGGGACGTTGTTATGGGATCTCAGGTGTGTGTTGGGGGTTTGGGGGTCCTGGGAGGTTCTGGGGCTTCCCAGGTGAGCACAGGTGTGGGGTTTGGGGTTCCTGGGGGTTCCCAGGTGTTCACAGGTGTGGTTCCTGGGGGTTCCCAGGTGAGCACAGGTGTGGGGTTTGGGGGTCCCAGGTGTGCACGGGTGGGGGTCCCGCTGCCCCTCACTGACCTTTCGCTGCTTGCTGGATCTCGCCGGCGCCGCGGCCGGGCCCCCCCTCGGCGACCTCGGCGGGCCCTGGGGGAGGGGCGCGTCAGGGCGGGGCCCAGGTGTGTCCAGGTGAAAGCAAAAGTGGCGGGAAAAGGGAAAGTTTTGGGGGGGAAAAACGGGAAAGTGGTTAAACTCGGGGGGGGGGAGGGAAATGGGGCAAAGTGGAGGGAAATGGGAAATCGGGGGAGGAAATAAAAATAATGAAAGGGAGGGAAATGAGAGAAAGGGGGGAAATGGGGAAAAAATGAAAAAATAGAAAAAAGGAAGAAAGGAAAAGGAAGGAAAGGAGGGAAAGGGATGAAAGCGGGGAAAGGGAGGAAAAAGAGGAAAAAAGTGAAAAGGGTCAAAGCAAGGGAAAGGAGGAAATTGATAAAAAGGGGAAGTCAGCAGCACAAGGGAAAAGAGAAAAGGAAAAAAAAAAAGGGAAAAAGTGGGGGAAATTAAAATAATTCTAAAAGGGGAAAATAAAGAAGAAAAAGACCAACAAAGGGAAGGGAAAAAATGAAGGTGAAAAAAGAACTCTGATATAAAACGTGGAATATTCAAAGTATTTATTGAAAGAGTAAAAAAAAAATTCAGAAGGAAAAATAATTAATATAAGAAGATAATGATAAAAAAGGAGAAAGATATTAATTAACATGGGAAATAATAAAAAAGGAAAAATAATGAACTGGGAAATTACTTTAAAAGGGGAAATATCTTAAAGAGTAGAAAATCCATAAAAAGGGGGAAATAATCAAAGTAAAGGGAAAATCACGAGAAAAAGAAAAATATTAAAATAAACACTATTAATAAAAAAGGGAAAATAATCTAAAACAACGAAAAATAAGGAAAAAGGCAAAATAACGGGAAATGTAAAAGAAAAAAGGGGGGGAAAAAAGGAAACAGTAAAGGAAAAGCGGCAAAATGGGAAAAATAGAGGGAAATGGGAATGAAAGAGAAATCAATTAAAAAACATAAATATTTTTCCCCCCCCCGCCGCCTTCCCGCGGGTTTTTCCCCTTTTTCCGAGGTTTTTCGGGGAAAAGCCGGGGGTGGGGGAGGGGATGAGACACGGGGGGGCGGGGCCGCCCCTGGCGCGGGGACCCTCCCCCACCCCGGGACCCTCGTGCGGGGCACGTGGGGGGCAAGCCCCGCCCCTCGAGCGGGCCACGCCTCCTCGAATAAACCACGCTCCGCCCCTTTCCTTGCCCTCGTGCAAGCCCCGCCCCTTGGGACTGGGCTCAGCCAATCCACAGCAGCCTCCTCGCCCCCTCCTCCCATTGGCTGCCGACGCCGCTTAAATTTGCATATCTCCGCCCCCACTCGACACACACGCTTCATTGGCTCGGCGGTGCCGGTTTCATTTGCATAGCGGCATCCTATTGGCCTTCCCGGGCAGTTACGTCATGGCCGGGGAGCTGCAGGGTGCCGCCTCTCGCTTGGCTCCGCCCCCTGCGTGAGCGTCACGGGAGCCACGTGCTCCGCATGAGCGCCAAGCCCCGCCCCTGCCAATATTTTGCATAAACCACGCTCTCTGCCGCACAGGCCACGCCCCCTTGAGTTGCACACCTGGTGCCGTGCACGCCCCTTACACAACACCTGAGGCAGACCCCGCCCAGCCCAGGTGTGGCACGGGGCTTTGCACGGCCACGCCCCCAAATCCCGCCCAAAATCCCCCTCTCCAAATCCCCCTCCCCAAATCCCTCCCTCACTCACCTTCCACCGCGGGTTCTTCCTCTGGGGGTCCCGGGGGGGGCAGCAAGAGGGGGAGGGGCAGAGCGATTAGTGCCCAGGACCCCCCAGGTGTACCCCCATCCCCCTCCCC